TTGTGAAGAATTTGACCAGTTCCATGGTCTAGGCGGTTTCAGCATCGCCGACTTCATGATCACTGTGACTCTTTCGACTCAGTCTTGTAGTTGCTGTGAGCAGAATAAACGCGAGAAACAGGACTGCGTTTGTCTTGTCTGTCGTAGTTAATCTGGCCTATCCTCATTCTGGGTAAGTTTAGTGTATCGCTTGACGGTATGTCTGTGTGCGCGCTCACCCTCGCATTTCAACACTTCGTGAGAGTTGCCGATGGCCTCCTACTCTGCTTCTTTGAGGTCTCAGATAAGGTTTGAAAAAGTTTCGTCACCGGGCCGTTTAACACCGTCACATAGACCTGTGCTCCAGCATTCGTTGTCAATATACGTTTTTACGCGTTATCACGTGGTTTTTGAGAATCACCAGGGCCGGTAGGATTGGTCACGCGAGACTTTTGTGATAGAAGTAGGTGTGCATCAAGGACCTCCTATTTGGCGATTGTTCACTTGCCCAATAGTGCATTGTACTTTTTTTTTTACCGGAATTCAATAGTCACCAATCGATAACAGTATGATATCTGCGCTCCAAATAGTACTATGCAATTGGTTTACCGTCGTCGATCTCTGTGTACCCTACCCAACTTAGTTTCGGTTCGAAAAACCATGAACCGTGTTTATCCAAGCGCTGGTTTCGGTTGCTGTTGTGATCATACTGGAATCAGGGTCCCATAAAAAACAGTTGAAGCGGAATGACTTTTGGTCATGCTATGTCGATTAAGCATTGTTTCATGATAGTTATGGAGAATTTGATTCGTTTATATATTGTGAATTTTGTGTACAGAGCAGATGAAGCGCGTGAACTGAAAAGCTGAAAGTACGGGATAGCTGTTTCGACCTGATTGGGTCTCATCAGCAGTGCGCAAATCCGTTGGAACCCTTTACTTCACAGAATGCAAGCATATTACATAATCGAATCAAATCCATCACTACTATACTGTAACAAACAGTCAGGTTCGGAATGTTTCCAACCGATTCTTAACCCCAGAGACTAGTGTTCGCAACAAGCTTACAAAGATGGTGTGTGCTCTGTCGTGTGTAGGTAAAACGGAAGATGGTTTGATCAGCTGCCCGGTGATCAAATGCGTGGTATGCTTGTATTCTGTCTGTAGGAACCCGGTTTCGATACCCAATTGGGTGAAAGTAAAAGTTTTATAGGAATTACTTACAAGCTCATGCTTCTCTTACCCCCATAGGATATTTACACAGATAAATAGTTTTTCGGCGAAAAAAATGATAGCGTGTCACATCAATTTCCGGGCAGAAGATAGCAGATCATGTATTCTTCAACGAATTTGCATTTTTCAGTTGTGTAGGAATGTGAGGTGTGCCAGGGTTTCATCAAGTCTCCGCTTGAAAAATTGATTGGTTGATGCACAACCGACGTGAGATAGAAGGATATTCGAAGTGCTGCACACTGACTGAAAAAAGATGTACGCCAGCATTCCAGTCGACACTTTGGAATGAGTAGCTTGAAACGATATCCTATAAGGTGTGCGTTGTTCAATAACATGAGCAGCGGCCGATGTGGATGGTTTGGGTTCAGAAGTATTTCATACGCCAAAATCAAGTCTCGTCGAATTCGGCGGTATTGAGCAGAATATAGTCCCAGTGATCGTAGTCTCTCCTCATTGGTGAGGCAGTTCAATCCCCTGACCATCTTGGTGGCCATCCTTTGTGAACGCTCAAGTATCTTGCGATCACGTTGCAACCATGAACTCCAAGCTTGGATGGCGTACTCTGTGTACGGTGGAATGCACACTGCTAGCAAATGTGGGAACAGAGTTGATTCAAACCGGCCAAAGACTCACTTAAGCAATCCGACATTCTTCACAGCAATGGAAGAGGCCCTGGGTCAGTAGATTGACACTGCTAATGAAACCTAATTAGGTTAAAATTGCAGCCTCTCATTTCATGCCCTTCATTTGCTTCCCCTGTGCACGACGAACGTTCACTGTATCTGTTTGGTTCATCAAGCTTGCAATTTCATTACCATTCTCCCTGAAAATAATTCCTAACGAAACAACCAATCCGTTTTGAATCACCACCTGCACTGCACATGAGTCAAATGATTGTATTATAACTGGATAGTCAATGAATGTGGTTCAACCCGATAGAAACGAACCGAGGATCATGTACATGTTTACCAAGTTGCTCTTTAATGCCGACAAGTTTTGCACAATAGATGAAATTTCCCTCGCTATGTTCTCGTCCGCTTTTTTCTTCTTCTGAATTCACGATTAATCGAGTTCTCATTTGCGGGGCATAATGCAATTGAGTAATCTGTTAACAGAGCTACGTAATTATAAAATGTATGTTAAACACCAGCCGGTCCGCTCCGGTGGTACCAAACAGGCACTTCGCCTGACAATAAAGCACATCTGTATTGCCCTCAGTCCTATTCGCGAGATTCACTAGATGATTTCTATAAAGATCATCGTACCGGGATTTGTTTGGCTCACAGTCCGAACACAGGTGTGTCTAAAAATACGAACATATAAAATATTGGATGATTTGACGAAGTTCACGCGCTCCACTTTTCCCAACCCCTAAACCTTGATGTTCGTGATTACTATGCCCCATCTTTCCCTTATTTCAGTCCATCGAGGCGAATTTCGAGGCATTCAAACAGTCCTATCGTGAATCCACTGATCTTTTGGCTTCGGCTTTGAGTGAAATGACCAGTGTCCATGATTTTCTCGCGGTAGCAGACGATCAAATGCGTGAAGATTTTCAGAAATCGCTTCAAGCACTGTCGGTGAGTTCAATGTTCGTTTCTTTCGCTATTGGTTTTTCCTCCTTTTTTGACCCACCGGCCACCAACTCAATACCGCCAGACCGACCGGGCTCTGGGGGCGATTCACTATGTTGCTTACTGACTTATCGATCTTCTTTAAGACTCTGTCTGCTGTCTTTCTCTGTCTCAGATGTTTCCATCAGATTCTGGACCTGAAGTCCTGCACAGAAATTTGTCATTTTGTCTTATACGCAAAAAGGATCAGGTAATTCACTGGGCCTCTCCGTGATCAAATATCATCCAAACTGTTCGCTATTCGTCGGGTGGGGAGGGCGGTGATCAGATAACAGAATAAAACACGGTCAAACCCTGAGGAAAAGTTTTCAATTCCAATCTGCTGTCCAAATTTTTCCCAAGAGATTAAGGATGTTTGTTGCGCTTGAAATAAGACCAAAAAGAAATTTTCAACAGCAACTCAATTGTCTATTGCTGTTCCATGGTGTTGTCTTCGTTACAACACTGGTATCTGTTTTGGTTCTGCACGATTTTTTATCGATTATCGCACTATGTAGTTGTGCAGCTTGAATTGCAATCCATAATCAGGAACTTTTTTTACAGCCCGCCATCTCCAGGTTTACCTGTTCGTGAAATCTTGGACTTCTGTGCTTTCGGATGGTTCATCTTGTCCCCGTAACACTCCACGAAAGCAGAACAGTTACTTGAACTGGAACATTTATTTTCCGAAATAAACCTTAAGAGAGGACACAACAAAGCTAGGTTGCATGATTATCGTGCAAGACAAACTCCGTTTCAGTTCAATTGGCACAGTACAGCAGAAAACAACAGTTTAGACAATACATGAGTTACACACGAATACAACTGCGTCGAATAATCACACCTACTACTACCAAGGGTAACCGCTCTTCGGGATTACGCAATTTAGAAGTGTTCGGTACAGTTGATGTTATAGTTTATGGTGATACTAAATTACTGAACTCATCTAGATCGACCGTTCCTACTCTTTATTCGGTTTTTATTTCCAAGTGTTCTTCGTTGTTTAACTGGAAGTAACGTATTCTCAAATTTTTGTCGATTCATCCTTGTGACAGAACCAGCATACTTTGGATGACTTCCTCACTTCCTACTTATGAATAAAAATCAAAACGAACCGCTGACATTACAGTTTGGCAGTGGAAACTTGGTAAACATCAAGCTAGGGTGGTGGTGGCGCAGTGGTTTAGTCGCTGTCGCCGGCGTGTTTTGGACCCTATGGTCCGAGGTTCGAGCCCCGCCACCGCCACCCAACTTTGGTGGTAGGCAGCTCTACTGTCGTCCGGTTCAATACCACGCCTAACCTGTCGGGGCCTTATGTGGTTCGCCACTCCAAGTTCTGGGGCTCAGGTTGCCGATTTCAACCACTGAACAGCAGGTCTTCGTGACTATGGGGTTTACCCCGTCTGCTGTTCATACCACCTAGGTGTGTAATAAAAAAAAGCTGTTCTCATATTTACACGCTTACTTCTTGGTTCTTTCTACCCCGTCCTGAGCGTGCCGCATCACCGCGTCTAGGATTACTGTGTTTACAGCCCACGATTGGGCTTTCACTGTTTTCTTTCGAACACAACCCAATCAATTGATGAATCTTGGTACCCCGAAGATGAAATTCTTTCATTTTCAAACTGTTGTAATGGCAGAATGCGTTGATCCTATTTTTTCCTTTTTTCATGCCTAATCAGGCATCCTTCGGGACAGATTAGTGCTGCCCACCAATATCTCCCTTTCTTAACACTTTGGTACTATCGCGGTCACGTGATTTCATTCACGTAAGAAAAATCGATGCGCGTGTGCTTATGTGCGGACATAAATGCTCCTTGAAACGGATGATTTGCATACATCGGGTAGCATGACTCACACAACCATCATTCTAGTTTGCCGTGCTATGTTTTGATGCTCGGATGTTGGCCTAACTGGCTGTCTCGAAACCGAAACCATACCCGTGCGCATCTCGATTTCGCTTAATTGACATCGAGATCGAATTCCCTAATCCGCATATAGTATAAGGTCACGTGGGGGAACTAACCAGAAAAACACGGTTAAATATATGGACATCTAATCCATTGCATACAATTCCAACTGATAGAACTATTTAGGGATTTAGACCCCCCCCCTCGTGCGCCACACA